CGTATTATTATTATTTAATTTATTTGTTTCTCCTTTAAATGATACTGATAGATTAATCAATTATTTTTTTTCTTATTCATATATCCCTCAGTTTTCAATATCCCCAAAAACAAAAAACATGACAGGTAAAAAACAATACAATTTCTACGATATTCTTTCTTAGAAGGATTGCGTATTTTTTCAACAGCGCTATTTTCAACGACTTTGAAAAATAACGGGATTTACAGATGGGCCAATAAATTATTCTTAAATTTCAAGGCAAAGATAAACGAATGTAAACTTTTTAATTTTTTTTTTGACAATTATTTTTGTTACTAGGACTAGTGATGGCGAAAAAAAAAAAAAAAAAAAAAAAAAAAAAAATTTAATATAAACTCTCTAGTGTAGTGATGTTTTGTTTCGTTGAGCGGCTGTTTCTTCCAAGTTTTTTTTAACGCATATGAAATTTTGTTATTTTTACTATTTTAGCGTAAGCATGAATTTTTCTTCGTATTATTATTATTTAATTTATTTGGTTCTCCTTTAAATAATACTGATAGATTAATCAATTATTTAATTTTTTCATTCACATATCCCTTTTAGTTTTCAATATCCACCCCGCAAAAAAAACATTACAGGTAAAAACAATACAATTTCTACGATGTTCTTTCTTAGAAGGATTGTATTTTTTTTTTTTTTTAAAACAACGCTATTTTCAACGACTTTAAAAAATAACGGAATTTACATTTACATATTACATTTTATGAATTTATGAAAAGAAATGCAATCTTTTCTAAGAAGGAATATCGTGGAATTTACAGATGGGCTAATAAATTATTTTTAAATTTCACGGAAAATTAAAACGAATGTAAACTTTTTTTTTTTTTTTTTTTTTTTAACCAGCGTCATTCTCTTTGATTTCCAATCGTGTCTCATATTGTTGCTTGGCAACCCATTTAGGAGAAGGAAAAATCCGAACAACAACCCGCAACTCAAGGTGTTAATCGTGCCGAGGAGTGAATGGCTACTGCGTTATGAGGTCGCGAACGATCCCCTACAGGCTTCGGAACCCTGTCTGTAAAAGACCGTTACTCAACGTGCCGGGCAACTTTGGGTGGACTTTTGGACCCGTGCGTCACTCGTGGGGATTAATATGAAAATTAAAAATAGAAACAAAACGTCCAGTATGGCTCTTCCAGTGGATAAACAGGGAGCCCGTCCTTCAGGAGGAACCTACCTGAGGTCGAAAAAATCTGCCATAGGAACAAACTGAACAATAAAGAATGAATCTTCAGGTCCCCACAACCAGGATAATCCTAATGATGGTCCTGTAAATTCTCCAGCTAGATCCATAACCGTAAATTTAAGGAAAAAAAAATAAAATGGTCTCTGTGAGGAGTACAAAGTTTATATTATTGACTGCATTCCATGAAGCGTTACTCAAACCTCAAAAACATCACTCGCCAAACATATGACATTTGGCGAGAGAGAAGGTTTCGGGGCAAACAATTAGAAAGTACATAGACAAAATAAACTAGCCAATGTAAGAAGGGACATCATGCGAAATAACCGATTGACAGAGGCTGAAATTAATGAAATAAAAAGAATTGCAACAAGAATAGATGAACCAACAAAACATGAAAAGGAACCGGAATCGGGAAAAATAGTAACATCACACAAGCCTCAGGTCATAATTGAAAAAAAACCGAAATACACACAAATCACTGTGAAGATAATGCTGAAAATTTAGAAATGTTGGAAAGGTATGATCTTAGTCAGTCACAAGACAGTAATAAAACGAGTTCAAAATTCATCGAACAGAATTATTTCACAGAAAACAAGATTAATATACAAGAAGCCAAGGATGAAATCATGAGCCATATAAGTCAGATACAGAATATTGCAATGGAGGAACGAGAACAACTCCCAAAATTACAACCAACAAAGCATAACCTCAAAACTATTAAGCTTCTATAATGCAGCACTCAAATTGATTCTGGATGAAGAAGACACTCATATAAATCTCAATGAAGCAATATATGCATCAGCAATAGCAGCAACAAATAAACTGAACATCAAAGTAAAAAAAAAGGCAGTCTCACAGACATGAAGATCCACCTTGAAAAGAAAAAAATAAAAAGAAATTGAACATTTTAGAAGTGAATTATCAGTACTGATGAACTAGCAAGAGGAGTAAATGTAAGAACTAGAAAAGGCAGAAGAGTCGAAAGAAAAAATACAATATCAGGAATGAAATGAAGTCCTATCAACTAAAGAAAAAATAAAGCAAACAATACAACTGAAGGCTCAAAGAATAAGACGCTATGAGAAAAGATCAAGATTCTATAGACAGAACAAGATCTTTTCAAACCGATGCAAAGAAATTTTACAGGAAATAGGTAAACAAAGAATTGAAGTGACAGTCCCCCTAAAATGGAAGAAGTTATACAGTTCTGGGGAAAATATGGGCTTGCCCTAAAGAACACAACGAAGAGGCAGATTGGATTGCGCAAGAGTTAGAACGAATGAAAAAATAAACCAGAACAGACATGGGCTGGGAATCACAGAAGAAGATGTTAAATGTGCACTGAAAAAAGCACACAACTGGAAATCTCCAGGAATAGATAAAATTCCTAACTTCTGGCTATATTATTTAAATACAGCACAAAAAACTCGCCAAAGAACTTCAAGAAATGGTTACCGATCCAACTAAAATTCCTGCATGGATGACCAAAGGAGTTTTTGTTTCTTCTACCCAAAAAATAGTGACACAAATATTCCGAAAAAAACTATAGACCAATTACATGTCTTCCAACAACATACAAACTGTTAACATCTATTTTAACAAAACAGACATATTTCTTCTTGAAAGAAATGACATACTACCACTTGAAAAAAAGGGTGCAAACGAGGCTGCTACGGATGTAAAGACCAATTACTTATTAATAGGATGATCCTGGAAAACTGCTTCCGTGAAAGAAAAAAATCTTAGTATTGCCTGGATAGATTATCGTAAAGCATTCGATAGTGTACCACATTCCTGGATCTTAAAGTCTTTAAGTATGTACAAGGTATCACCCGTTATCATCAATTTCATCAAACAATGTATGTCGATATGGAAAACTACACTTTACCTCAATCATAAAAAATGGAACCTATAAGTCTGGCGAAATAAACATCAATAGAGGAATATTTCAAGGTGACTCTTTTTCTCCTTTATTATTTTGCATATCACTTATAGCATTAACCAGACAACTTAACAAGACAGAATGCGGTTACAAAATAGCTCAAAAGAAAATAAACCATCTATTTTACATGGATGACTTAAAATTGTATGCTAGGAATGACAATGAGCTGGAAGGTCTTCTGCAAACTGTAAAAATGCTTCAGTGAAGACATTGGAATGAAATTCAATTTGGATAAATGTGCTAAAGCTACAGTTTTACGAGGATCGCTACAACAAACTTCCTCTATTAGTTTAGACCCTGCTGTAACAATAAAAGATTTAGAACAAGGAGAAGCTTATAAGTACCTAGGTGTAAATGAGAGTGAAGGAATTCACCATAAGAAAATGAAAGAAAAAGTGTAAAAAAGAGTACTATAGAAGGGTACGACTGGTATTAAAACTGAATTGAATTCTCAGAACAGAATTATGGCCATTAATAACCTAGCCATCCCAGTGGTCCAATATAGTTTCAACATCTTGAACTGGACTCTAAATGACATCAGACAAATGGATTCTAAAAAACAAGAAAGCTTCTTTCTAAGTATAAGATGCATCATCCAAAGGCTGATGTAGACCGTCTATACATACCCTAAAAAGAAGGTGGAAGAGGTCTTATTCAGCTAGAATTGTCATACAAGACAACAACTATTGGCTTACTAACTTACATGGAAACAACAAATGACTGGATGATAAAATTAGTGAAACAACATGAAAACAGAAAGAAAAAAATATTCAATAATAAAAGAAGGCAGTAAATACAAACAACATTTACATTTAGTAGATTCTGTAGTAAATCAAAACAGAAGCCAAGAACCAACTATTGCAGCAAAAGATATGAAAAAGAAAGCCAAGGATAAAGCCCTTGAACAGATGAAACAACGCTGGCAAGACAAACCTCTGCATGGCCAATATCCAGAACGTGCAAATAAACCCAATGTTGATAAAGTTAATACTCATCGATGGTTACGAGCATCTGGATTAAAGTCTGAAACTGAAGGCTTTATTCTTTCAGCGCAAGACCAGAGTCTTTTCACTAGGAATTTTCAGGCAAATATCATACATAATAATGTGGATCCAAAATGCAGGTTCTGTGACAAATACCAAGAAACAATAGACCATCTAATCTCAGGATGTTCTATACTTGCCCCAAATGAATATAAAATCGTCACGATAGAGTGGGGCAATACTTACACTGGACAATGTGCAAACACTTTGGAAAATGTGTAAGCAAACACTGGTATGAACATCGGCCAGCGCCGGTTACAGAAATAGAAGATGTCACCATTCTATGGGATTATACCATCCACACAGACAGAAAAATTGAAGCAAATAGGCCGGACATTATTGTCAAAAACCAGAAAGAAAAAACTTGCCTACTAATTGATATGGCTTGTCCAGCGGATTGTAACATAGCAACCAAGGAATTTGAAAAAACTATCAAAATACAAAGACCTGGAAATTGAAATAAAAAATGTGGAAATTTAAAAACAAGAATAATACCAGTGGTAATAGGTGCACTTGGAATTATAAAAAATGGAACAAAACAACACATTGAAAGAATCCCTGGAAACCCCAGCTTAAGAGACATACAGAAAATTGTCTTATTAAGTACAGCACACACACTAAGGAGAACTTTGTCTATGTAACGCTAGCAACTTCATCGGAGATAAAAAAAAAAAAAAAATTAACATGAAATGTGGCCATAACAACACACCACGACCTGCCTTAGGTCTTTCGCAGACTTGTAGGTAGTGTGTCCATAGCAGAAATCGAATGATGATGATGATGACAATAATAATAATAATAATAATAAAGGTACTGCCAATTCCAATAAAAGGTACTGCCACTTCTAACTTTGAATATCCGACGAGGAATCATTCAAGGTGTCTCCCTGTCGGTTCTTCTGTTCTGTTTGTTCTTAATTCTCTTCTTAGTCATGAACTAAACAGTAATAACAATGGAAACAAAGTAAAAAAGAAAGTGTTTAATCACATATTGTAGATGGATGATATCAAACTCTTTGCCAAAGAATGACTATGAGTTGAAATGTATCCTCAATACAGTAAAATGCTTCAGTGTTGACATCAATCCGAATTTAGAATTAGATAAATGTATAAAAATAACATTCAAGAAAGGGGGAATTACAGAAACACACTCAGTAGATGTAGATTTTGTCATACAGATTAGGGAACTGGAATAAGTTGAAGCCTATAAATACCTCGGAGCCAGCAAATGAGATTGTATACAGCATTCCCAAATGAAGGAGAAAGCAAGAAAAGAGAACTACAGGCGTGTGCGTCTGGCATTAAATACCGAGTTGAATTCACAAAACAGAATATCACCCATAAACAATTTGGCTGTATTTTTGCTACAATGCAGTTTCAACATCCCTGATTGAACCATTAAGTGAATGGATATCTAAACAAGAAAGCTTCTCATTTGCCACCGCATATGCATCATCCTAAGGCTGATGCTTGTCGTCTGTATGTGCCTAGATCCGAAGGAAGCAGATGATTAGTTCAACCGGAACTGTCTTACAAAACCCACAACGATCGCTCTTCAAAGATACCTGAAAACTGCAGGAGACTGGATGATGATCTGTGGCAAAGAACATGAAATAAGAAACTGTATTCGGTAATAATGAAAGCCAACAAATTCAAAAGGGAATTCCAAGTGGTTGAGGAAGTGCGAATAAACCATAATGCACCTTCTGCAGCGGCAAAGAATATAAAAAAGAAAGTAAAAGAAAATGCAATGTACCAAAAGCAGAAACGATGACAAGATAAGTCTCTTCATCATCAATACTCTGTTCGTACCAAACAAGCTGAAGTAGACCAACCCCGTACCAATCAGTA